GTCCGCCGGCGCGGCTGAAACCGATCAGCAGCCGGTGCCCGGCCCGCGGGGGTAGGCGGTGCCCGTACACAGGTGGTCCCGCTCCGAGAGGAGGACTGGGCGCGTTCCCGCCTCCCGCTGTGAGCCATTCCGCCACACTTCACTTGGGAAATACCGATGACTTCCCCGGGCCGCTTTAGGAGCTGCTCCCGGGTGTGTCTCTGCCTTTCGGTATCCCCGCCACGGGCATTCGACACCTTTCCAGGTCTGGATTAAGTTCACGCAGGCTTTGAGGCTGGGGCAGCTTGCAGAAAGACCCTCGTGGCACCAAGGTCCGAAGCCTGAACTTTATTTCCCCTCCGTCCTGAAGGTCCACAGCTTGGGCGGTTTTTATGTAACGATGCCCGCGGTATTACCGCTGTGCCCTAATCTCATCCCTGGGAGTTGGCAGCGGTTTAACATAACCGCGCGGCATGGCAGGGCCAGCCCCCACACTGCTGCTCAGGGCATCATCTAATGTAACTGATCAGATATCAAAGATAATTTAATGGCCAGAATTCACTGTGTCACGCTCCAGCACAAAACACATGCTCTTTTTCAGGCTTCTCTATGCAACAGGCTGAACGGTTTCAGTCATTCAGCTATGCCAGTTGAAGTGTTAACTTCGCGTTTAGAAGAAGCATAGTCTTTATGTTGTTGCCACTTAAGGGTAACTTGTTAAAATCATGCGAAACAGGATCAGATTGTGATAGTGTCTTTCAGACACTTTTAATCATCATGTTTAAAGCATTTTAAAGACTTTTGGCCTAAGGTCGCTTCACCAAGTGCTTCTAAGCATCCGGGGGGGGGGATATGATGTAACTATTATTATTATTATTATTATTATTATTATTACACTTATGTTTTCATAGTAAGAGTTATAGAGGGGCAGACCCAGGTGCTTTAGAAACTTGGTCGATTTTTACTTTAACTTAAACGTGAAGTCACAATTTCTGTGGGAAATACTGGGTGATTGTTTTAGCAGGAAAGGTTCCTTGTAGAAATATCAATGCTCGGTGATAGTACTTTTTAGAGGTGTGAATAATAACTGGGAGACCTCCTACAGTGCTTTGTAGCCAGTAGTTTACCAGAGCAAAGAAAGAATTGTTCGGTGTTTGATGGAAGTGTTAACTGTTAAGAGGAATCTGCAGCAGAGGCATCAAGCTATTGAACGTCCTTACCGTGTTGGGTTTTTTTTTAATAATGAGAGTGACAAAAGAGCTTTTTGAAGGACAGAGGTTTGAAGTCCCTTCAGTGTTAGCAGGAATTAATTAGGAATGAATAAATAGAAGCTTCTGTCCGACTAATAGACTGATAGTGTGGTATAAATAAGGGAACGAACTGCTTTAGATTCCTATAACTTGCATGCCCATGCAGTGTGGTTGTGAAGCCTAATTAAATGATGGTTTAAAGTAAGTTTGATAAGGATATTTGGTATTTCATAAGACGTGTTTGAAAGTTGGCATTGGCTTGAAAGTCAAGCCAATAGTTTTCTGAAAATCGTAGATTTTAAGGTTTAGACCTCGCTATAATAGTTTCCCTGGTTATATTATTATATTAAAAAAAAATCTTCCTTGTTTTTAAACTCAAGCTTTTTTTTTTTTACTCTTTTGACTGATGCATTTTTCTGATTTATTGTTGGCTCTGATGTATGCTGTACTGATAACCCACCCAAAACTAACAAAAGTATAGCAGAACATAATTTTACAATATGAAGAGTAGACTAGATTGTATTATTCCCTTCATCATAAGAGGATTTTTTGTTTTTTTTTCTGGGATCTATAGAATAATTTTTTTTCTTACCCTGAAAGACTTTGTACCGTCAGAAAGTCTAGAAACAACCATCATGTAGGAATGTAGAATATTGCTGGAGATCGTAAGCTAAATTGTTGTCTGGTTTTGCTTTTGTTTCCTGTCTTTGCTTTGGCCACACTCTGCTTCAGGGGAAATCTCTGGCTCGAAAAAAAATCTGAATGTTAGTCTTACTGCTAATTCTCTTGTGCAAATAACTCTCATACTCTACCGTGGTATTTTAATAAAAGTTTATGCAATTCATATTTTAACTATAAAAAGTTTTTTAAATTCACTAAAGTGTGTTAGTAGAGTTCTAATAAGTTTAACATGCTGCACATCCCATTCTTGGCACTAAAATAATAATAAAATCTTAGGTTTTTTTCCAGGATATGCAGAAAAGCTAGCAATTCTAGTAGGAATATATTTTCTGAGTATAGTTATAAAATATGCAGATGCAAACCGTTGTTTGTTTAAAAAAAAGATCACTTCTGCCTCTTGCATGATGATCAGTTACTGGCATCTGCCTGTTTGCTTTTGCAGTCGTGCTGAAGTGGA